TTTTATATGGTGTAAAGATCAACACGTTTGTACAAAATTGTATTTACGTAACCATTTCGGGAGCGCATTTTATTCCGACTTGCTTAACGAAATTTAATATTTAAAGCTAGCTGATAGGTGTAGCCAGATAGAATATACTATTCCTCATGAATCTGGCTGTCATATACAAAAAAGAATTTTTCAAATCCGACTGGTAGTTCTAGAGGTTAGAGCGTAACAAACGTAAACACGAAAAAACTCTTCCGATTTATTATATTAGCATGGATTAAATAAGTTGAGTGAAGAAGCGTTCTCTTGCTGGGGTAACTATAAACATTCTTCAAAGCAATGAATCTTTTATAGTCTATTTCGAATAAGTACGTTAAATCCGCACCTTAACCTACTTTCAGTGAGAATTTTATAAAGGTAATATTATAAGTTTCAATCATATATATATATATATATATATATATATATATATATATATATATATATATATATATCCCTTATAAAAGTATTTCTCTTATTTAAAGAAAGAATAATTATAATAGTAATTTAATATCCTATCTTATCTAAAAAGTACCAATAGTAGTAAATAGTAATAATAATGCCCTCCAGACCGAATTTCGATCACGGCGACCTGCCTCAACGGAGACTAACCATCGGCACAGGGCAGCATTCGGGTATGCGCAAGCACAGATGGACTCCCCATTTCTTAACTCTTATAATCCGATGAGTCGGTAAACCAACACGACCGGAGAGAGATCAGACGCAGGAGGCACGTGGGTAGCTACTGGGAATTTCTTGACGGGAAAAGTCAATAATTGATTTTTTTGGCCCGACCCGGGATCCGAATCCAGGGCCTCATGATCAGCTGTCGCACTATACAACCACTAGTCCAACGAGGCAGTTAGCAGTAAATATTACACTATTAGTAAGCCAACGTCGGACAAGAGCAAAATTGGAAGAAAAACTATGAAATTACATTTTTTTTTTACTTTTCATACAAAATGGGTCTACCCAACCATTTTTGGGTGGTTGGGCAATAAGTGAAATTACAGTAAGTAGTAATGAGATAATCAGTGAAATGAATATAAAATTTTTATTGAAAATTTTCAAAGTGGGAACTAGTTTACAGTTTATATGTATAAATTTAGAGGGAACAAAATTAAATTTTATGGTTTAGAATTAGTAGGCCATTAAGTTACTATTTTACACGGTATTTGATCGTATCTATAAAGCTTTGTTAAATAGAATAAATCTAAAAAAAATTGAATATTTTCAATAATACCTATAGAGAGAACATAAATACAAATTCACAAGAAAATATTTTCAAATTTTGTTCGTAGGTCATTCAATTAATATTTTACGCCATATTTGATCATATTCTATTTAACTTTTCATTAAACCAAGCACAATTTTAAAAGCGACAATATTTCCCAGTTTACCGGTGTCAATAAAGTTTTGTTACATCTCTAGCATTATTGTTTTTCACATCAATATTTATTTATCTTTGTTTCTACTATTCACAAAACATAAATATTTTCGACGAAAGTGTATATCACTTTTATTCAGATCCCACATCCGGCTGATTTTGCGAGAATTGGGCAGTGACTGTGATGGACTGTGACGTCAAAAGAAATGTGTTGACATTCAAAAATATGAATTGATCATACATTTAGTATAAACTATTAAAATCGAGTAAATTAAACGCGATAAAATCCGTAAAAATAGTTTTAATCAAAGTCAAACTCAAAGACAAACTCAAATCAAAGAAAAACTTCCTTTAATTAATATAAAATTCAATTGTAAAGTTATATATTATATTTTTTATTATCTGTGTAATGGCGGTGTAAGAAAGAATGTCCACTAGCACATATCATTCCGAGGGTGTCGTAAGAGGCGACAGAGGGAAAGAAATCAAGAGATGGGCATCAGCGTCTTCCTAAAAACGACTAAAACTAAAAAACTGCGGTTGCCGAACCGTTTCCCAAGCGTGGCGACTATGACAAATGTCCCCCTCATTAGGCAGTCTATGGGAGGTTGCCTATCTTCAGCAGTGGACTTTAATAGGCTATGATGGTGTAACGGTAAGTCTAAGATTTGACCACGTTTCGATGAAAAGGTTTAAGATACGAAGTAGCAAATCTACCCAACTTATTTCACGCAGCGGCGTCATGCAAATGCCAATGACACATAAAAATGTTAAAAATGTCTATGTGATGTAGTGCAGGCACATTATTTACAAATCTTTTATGTTTTCAATGACGGTTAAAATCGTGATCGTGCAACGCCTTTTAAAAAGAGTACGTAGAAATGATGTAAGAGTATTAGTTCTGCCAAACGCGGTGTAAGTGGGTTTCGTTGGTTTTTGAACAGTTCCGTTCAATCTGCTAGGATAATATATCTCTCATTTTAAAACAAAGAAGTGGTCGCCAGCTCAAGTATTGTTATTTAAATCTTATAATATGTTCTGCATAAAAAAATATTCACTCGTCAAAACCGTTAAATCTTTCTGGGTAAAAAGTCTGGCATTATTACGAAACTCTTCAAACAAATGAAAACTTTGTTTTATGTTCCTTGCAAAGACACGTAAAATTGTTGTAACTCCTTTTCGATTGAATTTCAATAACTCGAAAACGTTTAGTCAATGAGGGCTAGTTAAATATTTTGCTTCTTAGTTTCTAGAGTACATTAATACACAAAACAATTCCTGATTGGTTTGTACTTTAGTTTATTTGCACATTTTAATTCCTTTTTTAATTTTTCTATTTTTATGATTTTTTTAATCTGATTAATATAAAATATAACTAATAGAACAGAAAGAAACTTAACCTTTAGATTTTTCTAACAAATTAACTTCCCCGCTATGAAATTTGTCAAATATTACACCTCGTTTAAATTGGGTCTGCCCTGGTGACGGAAAAAGTCGTAAATCATCGTAAAGCCCTCATTATATACACATACTATCTTATCGCATCGCATCAGCAGCTTCTTATGTCCACACTAGTGAATATAAGGCTTCAAATTTCAAAATGGTATATTCTTATTTTATTTGACATGCCTTTACTATATCCCCCCTCCCCCGTGAGGCTATCTATGGGGGAGGCCTATGTTCAGCAGTGGACTTTTATTTTTTTGATAGGCTGTAATTAATTATAAATAAATGATGCATTTCTTATCTTACTTCTAATCCTGGATGCAGCAGGAGTGATCTTGGGTGAATATTTAATTGGTTTAGTGGAATTCCAAACAAAGCATTGATTTTGAATCCGTTGCAGGCTATTCTTTAAAAGATGTAACGGTCCACTGTTGAGCATAGGCCTTCCCATAGATTGCCTCTTCTGCTAATTGCCATAGTTACCACGCTTCGCAAGTGGGTTGGCAACCGCAGTTTTTAGTATTAGTCGTTAGTGGGAAGTCGCTACTGCCCATCTCCTGATTCTTTCGTCTCTTACGTCACCACTACACGGTAAGTTAATTTTGATTTCGGCTTTTAAATAATAAATAAATAAAATAAAATAAAAAAGCCTTTTATTCCATGCTAAATAAGTTTTACAATATAACTTTTTTACAATAGTATTTGCATTTTATAAAGGAAATTGAAGGTATAAATTTAGTTTTTTTTTTTTTAAATACATTAATTTATATCAATTTTTTTCTAGATTTTAATGCATTAATTTATTAATTTTTTTTAGAATTTTTAAGACGGCTTTTAAATATATTTGCATATAATTTAAACAGTTCAAAGTTATAGTAAAAGTTTTTTTGTTGAAATATACATACAAAGACAGGACAAAGAGCTTATGTATAGCGTTGTAAAATTATAAAGTATATTGAACCGTAAAAAATCGATTGGACTGGTCCGATTAAATTCTAATGTTTGACAGGCCTCTGGGCTATTTATCATTGTAGCGTTTCGTGCTACGTCAGAACACACACTTAAGACTAGTTTATTTTATTTTATTTATAAATATCCGTAGTAACTGTTTCCTTATAAATAATACTCTATGGGAAAAAATAATGGGTAATTTAGAATGACATAAATTATTAACAAATGTTAAAGAAATAATCTTTTATTGATTTCTTGCAATAATTCGATTTGTTGATCGAGCATTGGGTGACAAACAAGCACACAGCTCACCTGATCGTAAATCTGTGGCCCATAGACGTCCACGTTTAACCTTAATCAAAAATCAAAATGCAAATGCGTTGTCACCCCTGAGGACTAAGATAGAATGCCTCGATTCCACTAAAAATCGTCTCCGGTTCTCTTCACTCGAAATACAGCAATACGCTGCTATTTTACGCTGGTATTCTGTGAGAGCGTGGTCCTTCCCCGGTCGAGCCGACCCATTCGTGCTACAAGTATAATATAGCTGCAGCGTGGCTCTACCACGTAAAAAATCATTTTTTTAAATTTATATATAAAAGTGGCTCAAGTGGTAAAAGAACTTACAATCCACATATGGCTACTGCAGTCAAACAAAGAAAGCTTTAGATGTGTTGTCACCTCTGAGGACTAAAAATGCCTCACAGCCGATAATTTCAATGTTATTTGGCGACAGAAATATCTAAGATAGTGGTACCTAGTCAGAGAGACTTCTAAGTAAGAAAGGCGTCCTATCATCTATTAAACTTTTTCATCGGCACGTAAAAGTCAAATTCTGGACACGGGCCTCTCTCGTGATACCTGAACATCAACTGCGACTAATTAGGAATTCTTACGTGTTTAAAAACAAATAATTTGTTCCGAAACATCTCATATTCATAACCTTGTCGAGTTTGTAATTGCATCCCATATCTTTCTTTGTCCGCAGTACACTCTCCAGTAAGAGCACCGATCGTCCTTGCGTTTCCGGATCCATCGCGTAATAACTATAACGCTTGACGTACGCGCATGTTTTAAAGATCACCTAGTGACTACGCTGTGGCACGCCCGCGCGTGCATGTACCGTATAAAAGCTCCCGGCCACATTCGTCAGTATTCATTCAACGAGTGGAAATCCTCCTAAGCAGCAATGGCAGTTAAGGTGATCACTAGTAAAGTGTTATCGTGTGTCTATTTTTAAAAAGTGTTTAATAATATTTTTTTATATATGATTTAAGTGGCAAACGAACTCACAGTTCCCCTGGTGTTAAGTGGTTACTGGAAGGCTGCTGTCAACACGTACATAGGCATAGACGTCTGCAGCTAACTTCAAACAAAAAAGTTTACAGATATGTCACCTAAAGGGACTAAGATGGAACGTCTCACCAGCCTGTAATATATTTAGAACTAGTGCTCTATATCCTTGTCTGGAACAGTAAGAGGATGGTACTTATCCATACGAATACCTACATGTAGAAATGGATTCCTACCGCGTAGATGTTATCTAATTTGTGTCTCTTGTGTATATTGTTTAGATTATCAATTAAATATGACAATTTTTAATACTGAAAATAATATTTATGACTTATATATGATATATTATAAACGCCAGACGTAAGGTGCTCAAACCGCCGATGGCCTTCAGCGTCAGACGATCAGCGAGCAAGACGATTGGTATGGCAAACGTTAATCCGTCAAATGTAACGATCAAAACGATGGGTTCGTTATTATGGCAGAGGTGGACGTTTTGACTTGATTTTTTTAAGACTTATAAATATTAATCACAAAGCAGTGAGAAAAGTAATTTACAAAGTTTAATAAAACATTTTTTATTTCTGTTACAGTTCGTCGTAGTGCTCGCCGCCTTGGTGGCCGTGGCCCAAAGCTCAGTAGTGCCAGCGGTACCAGTGGCGAAAGTAGACACCGACTACACCAGCTTTGCTTACGATGTAGCGGATCCCAACACTGGCGACTTTAAAAGCCAAGTAGAGACACGCGTCGGCGGCACAGTAAAGGGACAGTATTCCCTACTCGAAGCTGATGGAACCAAACGGACCGTGGACTACGCCGCTGATGACGTCAATGGTTTCAACGCAGTTGTGAGGAAAGACCCCGCTGTTGTTACTTCAACCGTCGTGTCCTCCGCTCCCGCAGTAGTGGCCTCCGCTCCTACTGTCGTCGCCGCCCGAACCCTCGCCACGCCATCTGTGTACGCCGCAGCTACCCCAGTATACGCGCAAAAGTACTATTCTGCTCCCACATATTACCATTACGTGGTCGAGCCGACCCATTCGCCCCACAATTATACTACCAATATAGCTGCAAAATGGCTCCACCACGTAAATAATTATAAAGTACATGTTGTAATGTTTTTGTGTTTTCATTATTAGGTCAATATACTTTTGTAAAATTCAAGGAATGTTGCAATAAAAGCCAAAAATATATAAATACTCGTATATGGGGTAGAGCTATGCTGCAGCTATATTAGTAGGTAGTATAGTTGTAGCAAGAATCGGTCGACTTAACAGGGGAAGGACCACGCTCTCAATTAAAATAGCAGTTTAAAGCTGTTGTTTCGTGTGGAAGTGTAGAGAACGGGAAACCCTTTTTACTGGAAACGAGATATTCCATCTTGGTCCTCACGGATGACAATACATCTGCATTTTGATTTGTAATCGAGAGTAGATGTAGATGTCTATAGGCCGCAGCAACCACTTATATAAAACATATTTTTGGACTGTGTGCTCGTTTGTACCCATATCCTAATTTTTTTTTAATAATTACTGATACGTATTCAAATTAGTTTTTATGTGGAATAAAGATTAAACGACTATAAATTTTATTTCTGTTTCCTATTAAACTCAAATGGCAGTTAATGATTTATTACGATGTAAATAATACTCTATCTAAATTGGTACGCTAGTTTAATGCCAACAACTTGCTTTTAAACGGCAATTAAAACAAAATGTACTAATGACTTCTTATGTTTAACCGACTGCTACACATGGAATAAAACTAATTTTAAGCATTAAAGATACGCATTTAATTTTAAATCCCGACAATTCGGGCACTTTCCAGCACCCTTAGTCACAGAAGGGGAGGGGGGGCTGAGGTGTTTAACGTCCCGACGTCATAGTTAACGAAAGCCACCTTCAACTTTTTATTATTAATTTTTGGTTCGATCTACGTAGAACAAGCTTACAATATCTTGAAGTCTAGCAGTAGTTGTTTGAGTTTGGATTTAATTTATCTATTATGGGATCCCAAGCAGATGGTAGCACCCAGGCATATTCTCTACTGAAGTTAGGATGTTTTTAAATTTCAATAAATTCACGAATCATTCTTGGTAGTAATCGGTAAATTACCTAAACTATCGGCGTCCTGAAGCTTGTTTCAAGCTTGAAGACGCCTTAGTTTAGGTAATTTCTTTTTACAATGAAAATAATGGTAATTTAAAAAAAAATAAAAAACATAAGCCCTGCTTTATAGTTAGTTCAGTTAGTATGCAAAGTTTCATGATTTTATTTAAAGTATTTTATGAATAACAGCGGTTTATTGTTCAGTTTGGAGGTAACTGGATTTTTTTTTCTATCGGGAAAATTTTACGGAATCATGTTTTCGTCTAACATAATACTTAACATTAATCCTCAACTTTATCATATATTTATTTCAAAATTAATGCTTCAATATTTTCGGCATAACGGAGGATCTTGCTGAGCCATTTGAGATTATATTTCCCTTAAGACTTTTTTAATAAAAATAAATTGCTCCATACAAGTCAATTTGGTTTTACAAGGGATCGTTCTACAACCGATACCGGTGTTGAGTATATAAAACATATTTTTTGTCCATGGGAGAATTCAGAGGATGCTTTGATTATATTTTGTGACCTTCCAAGGCCTACGACTGTGTTCACCATGATAAATTAATCTTTTTTTTATTTCTCTTCTTTTTTTTACACGTTACCTCCACACTATGATTTTCTCCTGTATCGCAGGGGCAGTTTACAAACATAAATTTCACAAGGACAAACATCCAGACCCGGAACAATTACTTGTTGGTCATACAAATACTTACCTCGTGCGGGATTCGAACCCACGGCTCTTAGCGCTGTACTCATTGCTAAGCCACTGCGTCACGGAGCCGTCTCATCTCTCTCATCAGGAAGCTACTTTTCTTGTAGGAGATAATCATGATATAGTATTATTTGGTGATGATACTTTGATTTTTAAACTTAAACGTCAAATGTGACGAAGTGAATGATAAAGTTAAAGTAAAGTAAAGTTACAGCCAATATACGTCCTACTGCTGGGTACAGGTATTTCTGAGAGGGTTTAGGGCAAGGAAGTGTCCGCCTTGCTGCTCCAATACGTCTCGGCAAACTTCACATGTCTTCGAAATATTTTTTTTCTTATTCCTCAGACATGCAGGTTTCCACCACCAAGCACGTGGTAAATCAGCACTTAAAATTGCTATTAACAATTTCTACGGTGCCGGCGGGGATCGAACCCGAGTTACTCGCGTTCTATACTACGCGTCTTATATTTACCGCGATCGTAAACCTCCCGACCAACCACGACTCTGTGTGAATAATGCTATGTCAAAATTAATGCATTGGTTTAACGTTAATAATCTACATTTAAACGGCAATGAAACTAAATGTATTAAATTTACCATAACAAATGTGAGAAATCCGAATACCAATGTGTTTTTAAATGGGGAAGAACTGAGTACTGTTAAGTCCTCCGTTTTTCTTGGCATCACTCTTGATGCTAAGCCTCCGGGGGGACCCCATATATCTAAACCAGTAAGCGGACTAAGCTCTGCAGCTTATGCTGTAAAAAAGATTAGAGATCTCACTAGTGTCGAGACAGCTAGATTAGTTTATTTCAGTTATTTCCATAGCATAATGTCATATGGGATTTTGCTATTGGGAAATGCGGCTGATTTAAAAACTATTTTTGTTTTGTAGAAGAGGGCCATAAGAGGTATTTACAAGTTTAAACTGAGAGATCTCTTCAAGAGAGAAAAAAAATTAAAGAAATAATATATTAACTTTGGCCTCTCAGTATATCTACGAAAGTTTAATGTATGTTCACAAAAACAAAGGTAGTTTTAGTTAAAAAAGTGATATAATACACTCTGTAAAAACAACGAACGCAAGCTAGTGATACCAGTTTCACGACTCCATAGAGTCAGTAATTCATTATTGGGGCAGTGTATACGCTATTACAACAAACTCCCAGAAAATATACCAAGGTCTCTTTATTACCAAGTTTAAATATTTAATTAAACAAAAACTGTATAAAAAGGGTTATTACAATATAAATGAATACATGGTTGATAATAACCCCTGGGAATGAGGTGGTCGCTTCCCAGCTATTTCTAAAATAAAGTTTGTAAACCATTGACATTATAATTTTTTTTTAAAAACTTCCCGCTGGGTTCATTGCTGGTTCTTCCCAGGACATAGTTTTTTTTCGAACCAGTGGCAAAGTAAAAAACGACTTTCAATAAGTATTACAACATGTAATATATATTGAAAAAAAAAATTATTCTATTCTAAGAGAGACCACATTCACAATCAAACCTGTACACTTCTTCATCTTGTAGAGGAATATCACGCTCGACAAATGGTAAAAACTGACTAATGTTTTTCGTCGGCTTGTAGTATGTTCTTATGGAAGCCCGCTTCAAGATGTTCTACTTGATCTTGTCTATGACTCCTCTGACATATACAGCAGTATATATCAGAGGAGTACAGCAGGCACACGCTCGACTGTGGCCAGTTTCACTCGGTCACTGTGACGGAGGCGCGGGATCCAAAGCTTGTTGTCGTACAAAATATGCTTGAAGTGCTGAAGCTCGGTGGCCAGGTGTTTACTGTCACAGATCCCTTGTGCTCTCTGAAGAACTGTGAAGGATGATGGTGAGATTCACCGTTTAATTATTGGTTAGTATGGGTATTTTTTCTGCACACAGTATGACTGACGGTGTTATTAGGATTTCGAAAATAGATGCTGAAGAGTTAATTATTTTTAATAATTGTTATTAATTAAAATTTAGTTTTATTCCAAAAAGTACTAAATTAACCATTCCTAATATTAAACATTCGAACAACAGTGTGAACTACTATTGACGCGTAGCTCAAATGGAGCCATCATTTATCTAAATTAGCAGGCAAACTTAGTTCTGCAGCGTATGCTGTAAGAAAGATTAGAAGTCTCACTAATGTGGAAACAGCTAGAATTGTTTATTTTAGTTACTTTCATAACATAGGATATGTTCCAAAATAGAACCCAGTGTACTGTCAAATGCAAATGACGTCATGAATTGACGCTATACTGGTGATTCGTTCCAAAACATAGGACAGTATGACGTCATACATTTGCGACATATTGGAAAAGTATTGGCGATTATTTTGTTATTTTGTGCTCCAAAAATCATTATATCCTCCTAATGGAGATACCAGCAATTATTCTATAATTTTTTGTATTTGAATAAATAAAAACAAATTCTGGCATGCCTCATTCAGCGTACACACAATTAAAAATTGTTTTATTATGGCCGGATATCCGACACAATATGGCGGCGGCACGCCAGTACAATATAGTGTCAATTGATGACGTCATTTGTATTCGGCAGTGTACTGAAAACGTTTCGGAACATACCCGTACCGTCTTATGAAATTTTGCTATGGAGTATCGCGACTGCCAATGAAATCATTGTTCACTTGTTTTGAAGAAGACGTCCCTACGGGCGGTTTATAAATTAAATTGTAGAGTCCCTTAGAATTTTTTTAAGAAATAAACAAATAAAATTTGGCACCGCAATAAGGTAGAGCCACGCTGCAGCTATATTATAGTTGTAGCACGAATGGGTCGGCTCGACCGGGAGAGGACCACAATCTCACAGAATACCAGTGTAAAAATAATTTCGATGGGTTTCTTGCTGATTGTACCTAGGACAGAGGTATTTTTCGAACCGAAGAACCGAAAAGTATTAAGTATGTAATTATCTATATTGAAAACAGATCATTTTATTATTTTCTATTCTTAACTATAATTTGAAATGTATTAAAATAATTGGTATAGTTCAGGTATTTCATTTAATTAGCTATTATGCAGCGTGACGAATTCCTAATGATTTCTTCTACATAAAACTAGTTTAAATTTACAGTGTAGCGGCGCTGTCGTCGCGCCTCTAGCACACCGAAACACACTGAAGCCTAAATCACGCTATCAACATTCCGAATCATGAACAGTATATATAGAACATCTCCGAACTATCACACGGAGTGTCGGCCGCTCCCCGGGCAGAACACCTTGTCCGGCGGGAGATCTCCCCTTTTCCTTCCACGGCCACAGTGGTGACCCCGACGTGATCTTGAACATGCAACCAAACAACCTTCGGAAACTTCAAGCTTCATCATCGTCATATAATACCCCACCGTATCGCTCCCGAGCAGATATCGTCCGCAGTCTTCATATCCTGCAAGCCATCTAGCTTCACAAGGTTCATCGCAGCACTGGAATAATAATGCTTCCTGTTCTTTCAAGCTACTCTCTGCGGTATACAGTGTTCGGCACGGCTCTGAGCCTTACTGCTCGCCTCTGTTTCACAGCACTCTCGCAGATTTACTTGCCTTCTTCTCGACTCACCGCAGACTACAAGGCAATTTCCTGGCACTTGCACATTCGTCGGCAACGAGGCTGCACTATCGACCTCCGGTCTGAGCAGGGGGGTGGTGTAGCGGCGCTGTCGTCGCGCCACTAGCCCACCGAAACACACTGAAGCCTAAATCACGCTATCAACATTCCGAATCATACACAGTATATATAGAACATCTCCGAACTATCACACGGAGTGTCGGCCGCTCCCCGGGCAGAACACCTTGTCCGGCGGGAGATCTCCCCTTTTCCTACCACGGCCACAACAGTCTATATTCGTAACACCGTAACCAGGATTCGATATCACTAAGGTAAGGATTAGATACACATCCTGTGTATCCAGTAGATGGAGTAACGACCTGGTAAGACATGCAGGAAGTCGATGGATGTAGGTGGGTCAGGACTGTGCTTTGTGGCGTTCCTTGGGGGGCTTATGTTCAGCAGTGGACTTGTGAAGGGCTGTAATGATGATAATGATGATGATGAATCGTACCACTGCTGAGCACTAGGCGCTGAATGGAGCAATCAGCACGCCACGCTTAACCAGTCCATGTTGGCGTGCTTTACGTGCCATCGAAATATTTTATTCTTCAGATATCCAGATTTCTGAGCACGTGGTAAATCAGCACTTAAAATTGCATTTAAAAACCAAATAATGTCGGCTAGAGTCGAACCCTGGTTCTGTGTTCTGGTTATTGTGAAGCTTATGACGAGCGCTTAGTCACTGAGCTAACGCGGATTGAAAATACAATGAAATAAAAAGCTAAATCAAATCCAGTGGTACACTCAGTTTTTGCAAAACTTAGTTCCGACCATATGACAGTTCCCACGAGATTGTCATGCACATCGTCCACAGTATTACATCTTGTCTTCTAAGCACTGAAAACTATTTTGTAATTCGAGCTAAATAAGTAAAATAAATATTTTCGGAATTTTTTTTAGATCACTTTGACTTAATTAGACGTAATCTCTCCAATAAAGGTTAAGATTCAGTTTGTACCTCAACATTAAGTGATCATTGCCAATTATCATTGTCGCAATCACTGAACAGTTGTTTAAAATTCCGCAATCGGTTAACGTACTGTGGGGCGGCTTTTAGAAGAGAGAGTTCATCACAAATTGTACCTGGGCCTCAGATAATTCAAAAAATATTACTCCACCATAAATTATCTACCTCATGTATTTTTTCATTGGCCCTTAGATTGCGTGCGTTAATTTTTGCTACGTCAAGCAGTCGAATGTGGCAAACAAAGCTTCTCCCCCCCCCCCTTCACCGAGTAGTAGTGAGGCCGCCTAGGACCCTAGGAGCTATATTTTTGATGTCGATGCTAATGGATGGTTGTTTGCCTCAGTAGTCACGCTCGGTAGGCCAATCGTCAACATAAGTTTTTATTATAAAGTTGTTTTGAGGATGCTCCTGCTCATCACGTGACTTAGTTTCATTCTGATTACGACAGCCGCGGGATGATAAGGAGTTGTGGATTATCTCACGCGGCCACTACACGGCAAGCGATCGTGAAATTATTTCCGAGCTAAGTTGTTATTTTATTTATTTATTTAACAATTTATGTACACACGAAGTAATGTTACAATGAAAAATAAAAAGATATTTTGTACAAAGGCACTGCTTATTTCATACTGAAATTTCTTCCAGCAGGCCTGATACTGGACAGATTCAAAGAGAAGCAGATTTAGTGTGCACTCTCTATTGTAAATTTTATAATATTAATACTTAATACAAAATAAAGATCATAAAAACATATACATACATCCATACATATACATAAATACTATACTATATACATACACACACACATATATATATATAAATACAAGTCATACATTAGATCAATGGGACGACAAAGAAACATAGTGCTATTTAACTCGCCTTTTAAACACTGAAACTGTTTGAGCCTCACGAATTGCAGCAGGAAGAGAATTCCACAACCTAACTGCATGTACTGTAAAAGAGTGAAAATAGTACATAGTTTTGGAGGAAGGGAAATTTAGGAGAGTTTTTAAATGTGATCTGCAAACTGCATCGGGAGAACGAGCAAAGCGGAATTGATCACGTAGATATGGTGGTGATGTTGGATTGTGTAGTATGTTAGAGAAGAGGCATAGGATTCGGGTATTCCTGCGAAGTCGGATTGGTAGCCACTTGAGCTGTTTGCGTTAGGAGGAGACGTGGTCATACTTTTTAGTCCAAAAATGTAACGAATATATAAGTTTTGCAAGTGCTCAAGTTTGTTTAATTGCTCCTCAGTCGCATCCAAATAACAGACATCAGCATAATCAAGAATCGGTAAAATAAGTGTTTGGACAAGAGAAATCTTCGTTGATAACGGCAAACTTTGAAGACACTTTAAGGAATGAAAAGTATAATTGATTTTCCGGCCAACTTCTGTGTTATGTGCATTCATTGTCAATTTGCAATCCATTACGATGGCTAGATTCTTAACAGTTTCTGAAATGCTTAGTGGAGTGCCATTCATTTGCAATGCTGGGAGTGAAGTAAAATCAAGTAAGCTACGAGTAAACCTAGTGCCTATAATCATTGCTTGTTTTGCATGTTTTTTTTTTTTGCAAAATCTTGATCTCATGGCTGTTGGACGAAAAATGAAACTTCAACGGAAAATGCAACTTAATAATAAATAAATACAGGCAAATAGACACTCAGATCTCCAAATGCTTGATTTACGCAACTTAAATACAAATCGCATTGAAGCGTTTGAGAGATTCTTCAAAATTTGAAAACAACGGTACAACCAGTTTTTAAACCATGTCTTTGCGACGAATACACTGTTTACAATTTTCTTAATTTAATACACACAGTAACCACATAGGTTAGAATACCTTAGTTTCAATTTATAATAGTATTTTGTTTTTATATTAGTTTGTACCTTATGATATTCCTTGCAATACTAATAATGATTTTATGTAACCTTGTATCACCGGATAGTTTAATTAAGAATTACAAGTGATTAACATTACTTTAAATATCAACAAGTTTATTTCGTTTAACGCCCATACCCATAAGATTTATATAAAAACCCGTATGTCTATTCAAACGTAGCATTTGACCAGCGAAAATCATCTAATAAGCAATGGCAGCTAAGGTATATATTTATAAGTTTATTTTTTCCATGCGTTTTGATTGTTTTATGTCAAAATATTTTTATTCAAAAATTATTTTTTTTACTAACAAGATAAGGATGGCAAAGGAACACACATTCTACCTGAAGATAAGTGGTTCCTGTGGCCCAAGATATCTACATCCATCCCCGATGACGCGGAAGCCTTAAAATGCTGATGCATTGTCACCCGGGAGCACTAACATGGAATGCCTCGTTTCCAGCAAAACGGGTCTTCGGTTCTCTAGAGTCACTATACGGAACACACTAACGTTTAGCTGCTATTTTACGCTGGTATTCTGTGAGAGCGTGGTCCTTCCTCGGTCGAGCCGAACCATTCGTGCTACAACTATAGCAGCAATATAACTACAGCATTCTCTAAGCTACCACGTGAAAATTAATGCTGTACCGTGTTAAATTAATTTTTTTTAATTTTTTATAAAATAAAATAAATAAAAAAATACGGGAGATCTTGCGAGAAAAACAGTAAACAAGAGAGTTTACACGTGGTAGAGGGAGGTATGCTGCAGTTTTATAGTTGTAGCACGAATGGGTCAGCTCGAACGAGGGGCAGCCATGCTCCTACAGAAATCATCATAAAATAGTAGCTTAATGCTGCTGTATTTCGTATGGTGAGTGTAGAGTACTGGGGAACCCTTATATTGAAAACAAGGCATTCCATCTTAGCCGTCAGGTACACAACGCATTAGCGTTTTTAAAGTTTTAATCGCGGAAAGATGTCTATGAAACACAGCATTCACTTAGCATTAGATGGACTGTGTGCTGTTCATCATCCTTGTTCTATAAAAATGGTTCTATTTGTTTATATATTACTTGAGACATTTATCCTTCCAGGTCGAACCTAATGTGATAGTGTCCTCTTTTTCATTATAAACTATATCCTACACTAATAAAATTAAAATGATTAAATTATTATATTTATTATAATTATAATATTTAATACGTTAAAATATATTTTTTAGCTATTTTTCTCTAAACGGTTACAATTTAACCCGTCGAAAATATTTACATTAGTGTTATGTCCACGTATTTTTTAATTAATGATATCTATCTTTGATTTATAATATCCTTACTTTTTGTCTAAATAACTATCATCTTGAATAATTAAATCACACGCCAATTTGAGGTACAGTAGAACCTTGATAACTTAAACCTCGATAACGTAATAACCTCTATAAATTCATAAAATTTTGTGTTCCCTTCCGCTCGGAGTCCAAAACCTCTTTTACTTAAAATACAAACCCTCTATGACTTAAACGAATAATTTGGGCGTCGCACCTCAGTAACTCAAAGTTGTAAGGAAGACGCCCTTTGCAACTTCAATCATCTATCCAATGAGTCATTTTAAAATAATTTTCAAACAGTAAAGGTTCCCTGTAGACCATTGTTATTGCTTACACGGGTTTGTCAAATGGCTTCAAATGTAAACAATACACTAAGTTCTAAGTACAGTAACTTATTTGTATCATTCGTTTTTTTATAGATTTTTACGATCTTTTATAGAGTAATGCAGAAACACAGAGGATGATATTGTCTCTTTTTTATTTAATATTGAAAATAAAATGATGTAGAACGTGTGAATAGTTTCAAACAAAAAAATTTCTTTTTTATGTAGAATGAAATAAATTTGAATAAATCTATCTTTAAACCTAAAATAAAGTACGTATGTACATGTGTAACATTTAAAAGTTTCATTTTCATTTAACCTAGCTCGTATAGACGAGAATCACATAGATACCTATAAAGTTAAGTTAAGTTAAAGTTACAGCCCATATACGTCCTGTATGCTGCTGTATGTGTGCTGGGCACAGGCCTCCCCCACATTTCTGAGAGGGTTTTAGAGCAAGGAAGTGTCCGCTCACATCATGTCTTCGAATTATTTTTTTCTTATTTCTCGGACATGCAGGTTTCCTCACGATGTTTTCGTGGTACGTGGTAAATCAGCACTTAAAATTGCAATTAACAATTTCATTGGTGCCGACGGGGATCGAACCCGGATTGCTCGCGTACTGTGAAATTTACAGTGAGCGCTAACCATCTGAGCTACCACGGCTCGTACAAATATAAACCAATAAAACTCCTTAACTTAAACCATTAGTAAGTAAAAACCTCAATCACTCAAATTATTTAACGTTTCCCTTGGTCTTTATCTTTTCGAGGTTCTACTGTATTTCAAATAACGGGTTCATTTTCTTCTATAATTACAGTTGATCGTAGTACTCGCCTTTGTGGCTGTAGCACACGGCTCTGTGGTGCCTGCAACAACAGTGGTGAAAGCAGACGACGACTACACGAGCTTTGCATATGATGTGGCTGACCCCATTACTGGAGACTTCAAAAGCCAGACGGAGACCCGCGTCGGTGGTACAGTGAAGGGCCAATACTCGCTGCTCGAAGCTGATGGAACTAAACGTACTGTCGACTATACTGCAGATGACATCAATGGTTTCAACGCAGTTGTAAAAAATGAACCCGCAGTTGTCGCTACAAAGGTTGCTGCACCTCCAGTAGTATCTACACCGGTCGTTTCCCGAGCTATTGTTCCCACTAGCAGGACCAGTGCTCCCACCTACACCATCGCCACTCCATCTATATATGCGGCTTCTCCTTCTGTTTATGCAATTAAAAACTTTGCCACCCCTCTCTACTACTCAAGTTCACCGTACACATATACTTCTTATTCTGTCCCAGTTACTTACTGGTAAACACAATTATAATAAAAAATATCTTGTACAAAAGAATTTGTTCTACATACTTGGACATAGCTGTACATACATATATAAAAGTTGTTAATTAAACGCTTAAATAAAAATAATAATGCTTTTATTTATGATCCTACACCAATGTGAAAACAAAAATAAAAATGTAATAAGTATACATATATGAAATTAACAGGTATGGTTTAATACCTGTTATTTATTATTTCAAATTTCGGAATAGATTTCGGTAAACCGCTTGGTATTTAATATAACGGAAACCTCGGGATGTGTGAGGAAACAGTGCTACGGTGAACACGCTATGCACAGACATTGATTTACACGAATAATTTCGAATCATATTCGAACCCCCAACTCTTTTTATTTTGAATGCCTAATAATGAATAAAAAGGATAAATTGTTCAAACGACATTTTTATATAATAAAGGGTGTGGTGGCCGCTTCCGGTGATCCCGATGTGGCGGCGCTGTCGTCGCGCCAAAAGCGAAATACACCGAAGCCTAAATCGCGCTGTCAAAGTTTCGAGTCATAAACAGTATATAGAGAAAGCTACGAACTATCACACAGAGCGTTGGCCGCTCCCCGGGCAGAACATCTTGTCCGGCAGGAGATCTCCCCTTTCCCCTTCCACGGCCACAGGTGACATCCGAACACACAGTCCTGATTGTAAGTAAATGCTGTGGCCTATAAAAATTAAAATGCACATGTGTTGTTATCCCTGAGAACTAAAATGAAATGCCGCGTTTCCAATAATAAGGGTTTTCTACCCCGGTCGAGCGGACCCATTTATGGTACAACCATAATATAGCTCCAGCGTGGCTCTACTACGACCCAATCTCAGTACATTTATACGAAAAAAAGTTTATCGTATAAATGTACTGAGAGAGTAGCAGTCGTCACGCTCTTTTAACTTCGCTGTCATCGTCAGTCTAGCTATTCTACGCCCAGCAGAGCGGGACAGTTTCATGCCGGCACACCGCCTGCAACTTTACAAGGCGCAGGTTCGGCCGCACATGGAATACTGTTCCCATCTCTGGGCTGAAGCTCCCTAGTACCAACTCGTTCCACTTGATCGCATCCAGCGCAGAGCGGCTCGAATCCTCGGCGACCGAGTGCTTTCTGATCGGCTCGATTCACTGGCGCTGCGAATAGATGTTCCATCTCTTTGCATTTTCTTACGCATATACCATAGGGAGTGCTCTGAGGAATTGATCGGATGAACCCCAGCCGCCAAATTTCGTGAACGCACTACGTGGCAAGCATCCCGATACCATCTACACCATCTGGATGCTTGGCGGTCCACCACTGTACGTTTCACAAGGAGTTTTCTTCCGCGTACGACCTCTCTGTGGAATAGTTTACCACCGGCGTTTTTTCCGGACTGATACGATCTGGGGACCTTCAAGAAAAAAGCTAATATTACGTCCCGTGGTTGTCGTAATAAGTTTCCATGGGAATTGCAGATAAAATTATGGCTTCTCATAAATGTCGTATAACAATCTCGTTTAACGCTAGATATAAAAATTATTTGACATAAAGCTATCCAAGTATATTCAAAATCCTTTAGTGTTTTTTTTTTCTGCCTTAAACAAGTTACTATATTTATGGGTTTGTCTCTTATATGAGAAAGATCCAGTATTATGACTGGTATTGCGTTTCTTTAGTTAATTGCAACATCTCTAAACGTGCGACAAATTATTTGTAAAAACTGATGTACGTAACTGTCAAACTGTGTTATAAAAAAAGAAATTTAATAAAGATACAAATTTTAAAAATATGACACTGCTAAATATTTGTAAATTAAGCCCTTAAAATCGTATAAACTGCCTGCTATTTTTGATGACAATTGTATTTTACAAATTAATAGATGGAACATGGACTGCGGCGGTGTAAGAATATCTCTAACCCATATCGTTCCCCGAATTTCATAAGAAGTGAGAGGGAAAAAAACCAGGAGGTGGACGATAGTGTCTTCCTAATACCAACCAAACATAAATCTGTGACCTGGTGCTAAAAGGGCCAAAGTACGTTTTTATTAAACCGTACAGTACTGAACAGTGGCACATATTTTATTTTATTAAACAGGGAAGCACACATTACGTTGGCATTTATTACATAGTATCTTTTGAAAGACTATCAATAAACGTACGAACTTTTAGCACAAACACATTTCGTACTTTTTCAATAATAATGATTTCAAATCTCATTTCTTAAAAATCGTACTTTGGCCCTTTTAGCACCAGTTCACATAAATATAAAACATCGGTTGCCAACTCGCCTGGCGAAGGTAGCAGCTATGGTATCAATTCCCCTATGAGGCAATCTATGTTGTAAAATTCACTTCCATTATTTGGCGGTGCTTTGATAATGACATGCTTTCCATCAATTGCTCCGTAACACAAGGGGACTTCCCCTTCCATCTGGTATTAAATCCGTTTTTTTTGCGCCCTAAGCAAATATGGGCAACCCTCCGGAAAGCGGGGGAGGGAGGTGGGGAATGCTCATAGCATACCACGCAGCCGGCTGCGTGGTTATATGGAGACTTTTACCCACTAAACCCCACGTTTTAGGGACTGGCTTAACGGTCTAACTAGAGATCTCTAAGCCGTATACGGACGCGACCCTCCTTGGCAGAAAGGAGGGCGCAAGTTAAATCTGTCCTCGATAATTTTCCATTCATCCTCTCCATCTGGAATCTGCAAAGGAAAAATAATAAAAATGTATTAAACAAACAATAAACAATCAAATATATAATTATTATTTGATGTGTGTGTAGGTAGGTATAAATAAATAAATATCACTGGACATTATTACACACAGCGCCATCTAGTGACACACTAAGCAACGAGGCTTGTGTTGTGGACACCAGTTAGTTGATATACTACATAGATACTTTTTGTTTCTAAATACATACTTATTATACATATAAACAACCATGACTCGGAAACAAATGTCCTGTGCTCATCACACAAACATTTGCTCCTACCGGGATTCGAACCCGGCACCCTAAGAATGTAAGGCAGCCTCACTACCGCTGCGCCATACGGGTCGTATGTATGATGTAGGTAGGATTGTAGGTATAAGGTTTGTATGTATGGAATTAGGTATACGTTACGGTAGTTATACTAATAATTTACGCCTATTAGGGTATTTCATATCTTTAAATCGATTCAGGTACTCGTTATTATAACTAATTACGTATTTTCAGGATAATTCGGACACTCCCAACAATATTCCTGTTTCAGTTGATAATGGTGAAGATGAAATAAGATTTAGCGCAGAAAATAATAACACTGCGAATTCACCAGCTTCGAATCCGGGCCGATCACACAAAACTCCAATCAACCGACAAGACCGAGGTCAAAACGTAGCAAACTATCTCAGATGTCTGAAATTATAAAAGACATAAAAATGTATCACATAGTATCAATATGCCATCAGACGAAGAAAGTGATTGTGATATTTACGGAAAGCATGTGGCTTCTCAGTTAAAAAAACTCTCTGAGCAACAATGTATAATTGCACAGGAAGAAATACAAACAACATTATCCAAATGTAGACTGGCAGATATAGAAAAGAGAAGAAGAAACGTGAATATTTACCCAAATACTGACTTTTCTTTGAGTTCTACTACTCGTACGCAGCCTCAGCACTCACAACTCCTAGTCCAGCTTCTACGTCTTCAGCTGTCCCCAGTAGCAGCTCTTTGGAATGTTATTTTTCATTGCCAACTCAAAGTCCAAGATATGTAGATCCCAGTCAGGTGATCATCCGTATCGACCCTAATACAGCTCTTAATAACGATAATATTGAGTGTGAAAGTGACAGTGTAACTGATGTTGCGTCTGACAGCGTGCGTCATGTTATACTCCCGTTCACTCGGGACCTTAATGGCGGAAAAATTTGTAAGTTAGAAAATTTTTTGCTATATTGCAAATTTTGCTATATTTTCACTTTGAGACAATATTTATGGATAAAACTTACAGGAATTCTTGTTGAATGTATAAACTATCGAATAAAATTATTTTTGGTTGCTAGAAATTGTAATAAAATACGTAAATTACCCTGTATATCATAGTAGTAGTATATACTTCAATTTTAGTGACAAAATTACTACTAATTTGAATTCTACACTTTTGTTTTTGGATAAATTTATATGAAAATGTTTGGAAATATGTATATTTTTATGTTTTATGTGTTTCCATTCGTTACTCATACCAAAATATTAAAATATTAAAAAATTAAAAAAAAATAATAATATTTTATCTGTATGACATTTCGAACAATATTTCAAAAATATTTTTGTGTGAATTTGAATTAAATACAATGTCAAGTTATTTGAAATATGTAAGAAAACTATTTTTACTTACATTTTACACTAAAAATAAATGAGAATTTGAAAAATAACACATTTATGACCCAACCGCCAAAATAGGCCTTCCGGATTTTGAAGTACTTTTGGCAATTTACTTTTCACTTTTTATACCACAAATTATATATCTACGTGTTCACTATATTACAAGGAATATAAAAAAGTATAATACTTTCGTTTTTAGTCCAGACACAAATATAAAATTCTATAAAAAAGACGGAGCACCTTCATCAAAGCGACACGTGGAACGCCGAAAGTTCAGAGTGATTTCTTTTTTTTTTTTCTAAGAAACATTGCCAGTTTATGGTTTAAAATAAAAGAGCATATCTTTGTCTTTGATACTATTATCTATTGCATAGTGTCTTTGGTTTTGTTTAAAACGAAAAAATAGTTTTTTTCATAGGTACACAATTTTACATAATTCTGATCTAATTAGTGCTCTTCTGGAGCGAACGTAAGGTAGGTATTGTACGATCTAAAGTGCGCATCGCTTGGCGAACAGGTTAGCTTTTGATTCAGCTTAGTACCTACTTTTGTCTAGATTATTATGATTTATATGTGATTGTAATTTTTTTTGATAACCTGTTATAAGTATTTTTTCAATGAATTATTTTCTTACCTTAATCTGTGTTTTCAATGACTCATATATTGCCCAACACACTTCCGGTATTAAGTTAGAAATAGATGGTATCGATACACGATAAAAGTTGCTGAGATCCCGAAACGACATTCCAGAATCCAAAAATGTCAGCGTAATTTCGAGTTTCACTTTGGCTGGCAAGGCGTCTCTCATAAATGTGTCTTGACGCTGAATAGAGCTTGATAGCAGCATAAGCAAATCGTTAAAGTTTTTGGCGTCATTCTCAAAGCCAGTTTGTATTCCCCAGGATCTTCCATTCTCAACTGGGTTAACAACATAGCAGAACCTCCAGTTTTATCTCTGTCATCTATCCATTTTCTTACCCAAATTCGTTTCTGTTTATATATCTATTCTTCTAACATACCAGTTAGTTCTTGCATCATCACAAAGGTAAATTTTCTCAACAAATTATTGATTTTTTGCTGTTTTCGAGAATTCATTTTTCTCGAACGTGTGTACACCAAAAGTAATATACTCGACTACATACGAAATACTGACTGCTTGTAAATAGTAAGAGTCAGTTTTCGGCGCCAGCACTGACGACAGCTACTGACCCTGTGTAAATGTGCCATCATATTTATTCTAGATTAAGAATAAAAATATATACATATACAAAATATATACATATATATATATATGTATATATATAAAACACATGTTGTATATATGTATTGTTTTGTATATATATATATATATATGCATTGTATATATGCATGCACATGTCGCTCTTATAGATTTGATTTAGGATAACTACATAAATTTAATAATCCGTCTGACCTTGCACAGGTTCAATAATTAGGACAAGATACAATTAGACAAGTAGTCATTTACATTATAGTTTAAATATCACGACTTCCAATTGCAATTTAGAGAATTATATAAAACGTCGATTTTTCACAAAAATATTCATATTGCATCAACGATCCGAAGAAGCAATGGCTGTTAAGGTACGCGTACTTTTTCCCAAATTTCAAATCATCTTAAAATATTAGAATATAATTATTAGAAGCTAACTTTAAAGTGCTATTACTTCATCTGTACATATGCTAAATATGTTCAGGTATCTGTACATTGTATTTGTGACAAAAATGATAGAGACTAAAAATAAGTAATGAAATACATGACTATCTAATCTAATCAATGGACAATCAACTCAAAGATTTAAATTGTACTTTTTAATAGCACTTTTTTTGAAGTAAGATGTTCAACTTCAATTAAAAATTAGACTAATGGACGCCACATACGGTCAGTTCAACTGATCAGTTCAAACTAAAACTGTTGATATTTTTTAAAATATTGAATTTTCGATATATCGATAATTATAAATATATCAATATCGGAGTTTTATTTATCGAAATATCGAAAATCCAATATTTTAAAAAATATCAACAGTTTTAGTTTGAACTGATCAGTTGGAATGATCAGTTGAACTGACCGTGTGTGACGACCGTAAAAGTCATATACGTCCTATTATATTACAGGGTTTGTTTTTGGAACGGGGCAGAAGTCGCGCTGCACTACTGCGTGTTGATAAAATAAATTATCTACACTCAATTTTTAACATTAGGTTAGCTTACAATGTTTTATTCACAACCGAGTACGTTTTAAATCAAATTTTAAAAATGATATTAACAGTTTCGTTACTTTCAGTTAGGGTTGAACTTAGATTATTTGAGTGGCGCGCATTTATTCCTGAGGTACCACAGAACTACTTTCGTTATTAATCTATAAGTATAATATTTATTAAAAACCTGTGATAATCCTACATAATGTATCAATCTCATCAAAACCTTTGCCTTTTATTTTCACACGAGAAAAATCAGTACTTCAAAATGCAGAAAACTATTTCATTAAACCCAGGTTGCTCTCTTACTGTGAGCTTTCATCCACAACCATGACTCTAAATTTAAAATTATAGTATTCAATAAAATTTGTTATTTTTTCTTTCAGTTTATCGCAGTGCTCGCCTTTGTGGCCGCAGTTCAGAGCTCAGCGGTGCCTGCAGCATTAGTGGCGAAAGCAGACGATGACTATACCAGTTTTGGTTACGACGTGGCTGAACCTACAACCGGGGACTACAAACATCATGAGGAGACACGCGTCGGTAGAACAGTAAAGGGCCAGTACTCTTTCCTAGAAGCTGATGGTACTACACGTATTGTAGACTACACCGCTGACGCGAATGGTTACCGAGCGGTTGTGAGAAACGAGCCTGCTGTTGCCACGAAAGTTACGGCTCCTATAGCAGTTGCTACGAGAGCTTTATCCCCTGCTGTTTTCACTAGACGAGGCATAAGATCACGTCCCGTCCATAATATTGTTGCTCCGGCAGTGTATACAGCTGCACCGTCTGTTTACACTACCAAAACTTTTGCTACCCCCTTTTATTACACTCGTTTGCCTCATTCCTACTCCTACCGCTCTTACTAACCTTTAACTCATTGGTAAACATCGGTGAAAAAGAAAAAGCGATGAAAAGGAATTGTATATATCGGAATATAACTGTATTTATTTAAATATGTAAATATATTTTTTGATCGAAAACTAAAACACTTTATTTTATTTGTTATCTGGTTATCACCTCTTTTATTCATTGGATTTCATATAATGTCACTGCATTAAATTTTAGTCAATGAACAATCACAAATAATAACGACTCAAAATCTTTTTTTTAAATTGTTATGGCAAAGGTCCACCTGATACAGTCGTGTCTACTGCAATCTAGTGACAATCACAGTCTACTTCAAACAAGAAAGGCTGCAGATGCGTTGTCACTTCTGAGGACTAAGATGGAATGCCGTAGACCGGTACACAGTAGTGCAACCACTGCTATTTGGCGGGAAAAAAGTGAGTAGATTGTATGTTCCAAAATGTTTCCAGTATACTGGCGAATGCAAATAACGTCATTAATTGACGCCGTATTCCACCATATTCGATACAACGAATCACAAATATGGCGTCGATTTATGACGTCACTTGCATTAGCTAGTGTAC